GAGCTAAAAATAAAAAATATTTGTTAGTAAAATTAAAAACTTTTATATGTAAGGAAAAATACATATTTTACTAATTAAATTAGTAAAAAATTTAAGTGTTGCATTATTTTTGATTGCCACTGTATATTAAACTATAAATTATAAATATTATTTTAATATAAAATAAAAATTATTTTATAATAAAATTAATAAATTTTAATATTAAAAAAATTTTATTTTTATTATATTTTATTAATAAAATTAATTTTTTAATTTTATAATTATAAAAAATATTATATATATAAAATTTTTATTTAAAAAATAATAATAATAAATTTTTTTTGCTAATTCTATTTAAATTTTTTATTATTATATTTAATTTAATAAAAATAATAAAAAATGTGAAATTTTATAAAATTTATAATTTGAATTATAATTTTTTATAATTGCTTAAATTAAGTTGAGTTAAACTTATTATTAGTTTAATTTAAATAAATTAAGTCAATTTTCAAATTAGCTTGAATTTTGATTCTTGATTTCTTAAAAATTTATAAAAAAAATATTTATTAAAATTAAAGTTTTATTAATAAATTTAGCTTCTGATATATTACTTTTGACTATTACTATAACTTAACTTAAAATTATAAACTTTATTTATTAATTAAATAATAATAATTTATAATAAAAATAAAATTTGAGAGTCTATTTTTGTATAATATCTCAAAAATTTTATTATAAAAATCTAGTTTAGACATAATATAATACAAAAAGAATTAATATAAAATTGGTATTATTAATCATGCTATGGATTAAACAAAAAAATAAGAAGCAAATATATAAATAAAATAAATATAAGTATAATTATAAATACACGGAAATAGGATGGATTAGAATTAGAATTAGGATTAAAGTGATAGATTTTAATTTTTTATTGTTTCAATTTTTTTATATATAATAAATAAATAATTAAATATATCATTTGTTATAGGTTTTAATATCAAAAATTTTAATAAAAAATATTTATAAAAAATTTTATATATACTAAAAGTCCTTAACATTTTCAAGAATGATGATTATAAAGAGATTTGATTGTATCTGATAATGGAAATTGAATACTCCGAGTATAATTAGCAATACATACTTAATGATCTTATAAATCAAGAATCTCATTCACATTTTTGTATCACATTTTTTTATATCTCGGAAAATAAGCTATTCTCAAAAATAAACTACCTCCCACGTTTTGGATATCATTTGTTATGTGAAACGTAGAACGATTAAGTCATCTTCTCATTAAAATCGTGAAAAAAAAGGGTAGATTATTTTCGGACTATTTGATCTATTTGGCTAATGCTAATCCTAATCCTAACCTTGAAATCAATTTTCAACTTTAAAAATTAATATTAATTTTTTTTTAGATGTTTACTGTATACATAAAGCTCGATTGTAAACGAATTTATTTAAAAAACTTAGATTAAACGCCTATGTAGCAACTTTTTTAACATAAAGGTGTAACCCCTCCACATCGACAATGTATATTTTTCCAGTAATCTTCGTAAAGTCATTTCCTTTCAAGTACGTTCTAAGCCTCTTCCTTCCTCCTGAGTTACGCCAAGACGACACGCTTTCCTCAATCAAATCATCTTAGGAACGGCTATTTATAATTTTTATTCATGGTCTTCAGATGATACTCAATCAGAATAACTTAACTATATGAGGCTAGAAAATTTTCGCTTATTCCACAAACACTTCGGTTAATGTCATGTGATCCACACCACGCAAGACTTACCAATTCGGGAAACTCTGTGAAACAAAATTTGTTCAAACACATTTCATCATATGCAGTCCTATACCCAAAAAATCCATAACCTGTTACTTTCTCAAAAGTTGGTATTGGCTTCGAGATTTTATTGCTTTCTTTTCATATTTGCATTTAAGATTAAAAGTCTACAGAGTACATTTCGACTGTTTGGTACTCTCTTTAGTCAATTCGCATATTTTAACTACCTGGACTTTAAGCAACTTTGCGCTCAAACAATATAATACTCCCTACGATCGTTGCCAAGAGTAACTTGGAACATATACTTCGTTTGAGGTCTACTGCTGCTGCTATTATCACCCCCTCCTACTTTACGTGAAACATGGATTATCCTGGCAAAGTTTCACGTCAGAATTCAACACCTAAAGATGATTTTGGAAATGCTGCTACGACATCTCCGAGTCTCTCTCGACCAAATAGTTTGGCTGGCACCAGCGTGGCAGTCCCTGGACCTTTACCTGCTAATCATGTAAGCCTTGATGCTACTACCCCTGGTCCAAACGGATTTTCTACTCCGCCGTCTAACACGACCATGGTGTGTGGTCTTTTGTTGATTGATGGTTTTGTTAACATATTTTCTTAATGTGAATTTTTTTTTGATTTTAATATATCTGTCATATTGCAGATGATTGGAAAATGCATGTGTTGTAATAGGTAACAAAATTTGGTTTATATTTTTATAGTTTCAAAATGTTCAGACATGGTAGTGCTAATTCTTAAATTTTTTCATCCTTCTAAAATAATTTAAAGCAACTTACGATTTCCAGTTTCCGTCTCTTGTTTTCGATGCACAGTCTGTCAAACTATAAATGATCTCAAGCCCACGCAACAAAAGGGTATTGTTATTTGAGGGAATGTTTATTTAATCTTTCTCTTTCTGATTCTTACTTTTCGATCAATATTATTGCTCTTAATAGGCGATCCAGTGACACCTTTAACTCTGGATCGACTTCGAGCAATGATAAACACTTGTCGGAGCAATAATAACGGACGAAACAGCACAAACTATGATACATTAGAACAAACCATACAAAAATGCTTCTCCAATTGGTATTCTTTAAATGAGAGCTTTAGTAATGCAAGTTTCGAGCATATCACGATTATATCTACGATACGAAGGTTTTTAAGTTCCGCTAATGTTGTTCTGTGTATTTGCTATTTTAGTGTCGTTCTGTTACCCTGGAAGACTGTGGCGTTGCTCTAGATCAAGTGAGAGATGCATATAGAATATTATTGGAGCTGGTGAGTAAAATTTCCTCACAAATATTTGATTCAAAAATGTATAAAGAAATTACCTTAATATTCACAAGTTTTTTTTTGGGTACTCGACGGAATGCGTGAATTTTTTCCCATCAGCCAGTTAGCATAATAAGAGCAATGATGAAATCTATTGAGAGTATATTAAAACGACCCGGGCGGTAATTATTCCATTCTGAATAAAGAAAATTCGCGGCATAATTTTTCTATTATGTAATTGACTTTCGAAATCTCCGAAAAATATTGAATATTTCAGGATATTAAAAAGAAAAGAAGATATCAAGTTTTTGATGATTATACTCGAAGTAATTTTTCCGTTTGCTATTTTTTCTCTATTCAACTTCATATTATTATCTCATACTTAAAAATAATTTTTGCATTAATTTAGAATCCTCTACTATCCCAACACAATTTTCCACAAGAGTCTCAATACCACCACAACATAGTAAAACGTATTTTCGGTCTTTTATCGAATCTTAGCAATGAACTTCATCATTACCTAGTAAATTGGTTTGCACGGTGAAGTTTGATCTTTTTTTGATTTATTTAATGACTCGTTGAATAATTATACATATCTCGTTGCTCACATTTTTACGTCATCACTATTTTTAGACATTCAACGGTCATATTTCGGAGGCGAGTAGATTTAGTAAATGCTTTCATCTCCTTTCGGCTATCAAAACAGCAAAGAGCACAAGCACCAAATACAGTTTTGTCTCCTGCTTATGAAACCGATTGGAGAATTAGCTCCGCTGCTAGAGTTATGGCATTGTTGTGTGCGTAAAATTTTTTTTTTAACCATATATTGGAAGAATACATTATTTCTTATTATTCTTAGGGAAAATGATTTGTATTTTTATTAATTGTCTTTGAATATTGCATATTGATTGTTAGGCTTTTGAGTTTGCTAATTTTTATTTCCATATATTTCTATTTATGTAAAAAAAAAAGTTGCCGCCAATAAACAATCATACAAAATTCCATTGTCAGAATTCTACAATACTTTGGTAGATTATATTGATTTAATAGCAGATTTCAACACATGGGAACAAAGATCAAGGTAAATTTCAGGTTTTTTTCTGTATAAAATTCACCTCGGCTGTTAATATTAATTCTATATTTAAATTATTTATAGCAAGTTTGCATTTTGTCAATATCCGTTTTTAATAAGTATGGGTGGAAAAATCACTATAATGGAATTCGACGCGAAACGGCAGATGGAAACGAAAGCGAAGGTACGACCAAATTTCTCGTTAACATATAAAAAGGCAGATCGATTGTTGACATTCTTCAGCTTATTGCCTTTTTAGGAAGCATTCTTTACCATTCTTTTCCAAAAACGAGTTACGGCACCACATCTTATTTTAAGAGTTCGTAGAGATTTTTTAATTGAAGACTCTTTGAACCAAATTGCTGCCAATGAAATGGAATTAAAGAAATCATTAAGAATTGAATTTGTTGGGGAGGATGGTGTGGATGCCGGTGGATTAAGAAAAGAATGGTTTTTATTATTAGTACGGGAATTGTTCGATCCACGCTATGGTGACTTTTTTTGGATTATGATATAATGCTGTAGATTTTGGATTTCTAACGTAATTATGTTACATAGGGATGTTCACATGGGACGAGGACTCGAATCTTTGCTGGTTTAATCCAGCTAGTTTCGAGACCAGTGATCAATACTACCTTGTAGGTGTTGTCATAGGCTTGGCTATATATAATTCTACAATATTAGATGTACATTTCCCATTGGCTTGCTATAAAAAACTATTTAATTCCCCGGTTGGATTGGAAGATTTAAAAGTTTTTCGTCCAGTAAGTTTTTTTTTGTTGCTAGTTTCTGAATACATTAATGATGTATAATTTAAGTTTTAAATCTTATTAATGTTTTAGGCCTTTGCACGTGGACTAGAAACACTGCTTACATTTGAGGGTGATGTAGAAACAACGTTTTGTCGTGATTTTGTTGGTGAATATGAAGCATTTGGCGAGTTACAACGGATCCCATTAGTGCCCGGTGGTGAAAATAAACCAGTAACGAATGCTAATAGGAAAGGTAAATTTTTTCTTTTTATTTTAATTTTTCCATTTAATATTGAATGCAATAAATTTCTCATTTCTGATTTTTCTACAATTTCCAGATTATGTAGATCGATATGTTAATTTCATTCTAAATGATTCAATTTCGAAACAATTTGAACCTTTCAAACGAGGGTTCAACCATGTTTGTGGTGGCAACGCATTGTCTGTAAGTAAAAAAAAAAAAAAGACTACGGCACTACATGAAAAAACATTAATATTAATATCCAAATATATGAAAAGCTTTTCCAACCGGAAGAAATTGAATTGCTAGTACGCGGCAGTGCGGAGCCCTTGGAGATAGAACAATTGCGAGCCGTCACTGTGTATGAAGGTTTTCGTGAGGACGAAGAGATTATTAAAAACTTCTGGTCAATTTTCAAATCAATGGATCCTATAATGCAACGAAAATTGTTGACATTCGTGACGGGAACCGATCGAATTCCAGCAACCGGATTAGCGAACCTAGCATTAAAGATATCGTGTTTAGGAGATGACAGTGAAAGGTAATAGTTTAAAAGAGAAGGGGTCTTAGATTTTTATTAATGCTTTTTTTTTTACTTGAATATTTTAGATTTCCTATTGCGCATACATGTTTCAATCAGTTGTGTCTTTATAGATACCGATCTCGACATAAATTACAATCAAAACTACAGAGGGCTATTGAAGAAAGTGAAGGTTTTGGATTAAAGTAGAAAAAAATAAAGGTTTCCTATATTAATTATTCAATTAACACTAGCTCACAAGTACCCAACAAACTTTTTGTAACATCACTATTCTTTTATTTCCTCCTTCCGGGGAACAAATTATTATCTTGTCTTTTATGATAATTATTATTATACAAATTCTGATTTATCTCGGAAAATTATAAGCTATTTTTCTTATTTTTTGTTAATAAAGCATTTTTGTATATTCGACCTGTTTTCCTTTCGCACCACTTTTGCATTCTATTCTTATTTATTATTTACTACTGAATTACAACACTAAGATTTACAAAAAGTACAATTTTGATTTTTTTAATAATATCTTGTCTACTTACTATAGGAAATTTTATTTATTAAATTTGCTACTTTTACTATTTATCGTCGAATGTAAGAAACATATTCATCTTCGGATGATGATTTTGTTTATAAAATACAAGATCTTTAGTATCTATTTTAAAAAGATGCTATATATTCTCCAAAATAAAAAATTAAAGTGCAATCTTTTGATTATGCACTCAAGAGAGATGGGATGCTTTCAGAGGGTTTCTGGGGAATTTGGTAAATAAAAAACCTTGGTAAGAAAATCGTTAAAAAAATTTTCGAAAATTATTCCACTTATTTTTCAGAAAATTTTGATCTTTCATCAAACTATTATTTTTTTTAATTAATAGTCAGGGCTTGACTCTATCTGAGTTCATCATTTCGTTGTTGATTTTATTTACGAAAAAAATACGATCTTTCTATTCTTACCTTGTCGCATATATATATATTAGCACACAAAATGCCTGTTGATATTTTACGCGAAAAAAGATATTTATTTCTTTATCATACCGAAAAAATTTTATAGAAAATCAATCTTGTGACATGTATCACCTTGAATTTCCAGTTCGTGTCTTAGCCACATCGATGCTATCGGTCCCAAAAGGTTTTGCAAAGAAACTAATTATTTACGTTTGACCTAAAAAAAATACGCCGAGGACGAAAAGGACACGTGTGTAACAGAAAAAGTCCATGCTGTTTGAGAGTACCGTTGGGTTTTTATGCGCGAAAAAAAAATTTGATATATATGGTAAAAAAAAAATCTGCGGATGATTGATGTCTAATAGCCCCTATTATACGGGTTAACCTTACTCTTTGTGCGAGGGTTTTAATTTTTCACGAGATACACATTGTATCCACATTTCGAATTACACCCACTGTATTTGCTCATCACAGTTTTTGGTGTGCACAAGTCGACGACCACGTTCCTCAAAGTGCCTCCCAACGATTTTGTTTCGTGATTTCTAATTGCAAGCACAGAGAACAAGGTTAATGTGTCGCATCGTAATTATTCCGATACAAATTAAAATGAGCTTAGTGCTAATGCATTACATTACCAGATTGGCAAGTAAACGAAACTGAATTCCCCCCCCCCCGGGGGGGGGGGGGGGGGGGGAATTGATAGCCATTAAGACGGAAATCACACTTTACTTTCCTACTCTAGCTTCGCCTTAGAAAATTATAACTTTAAATTTATACGTTAGAGAATGTCTATTGTTGCCAATTTTGAAGAGAGCAATTTATTCAACCAATTGTGCCTTTTAAGAAAAATAATACTAATGGCAATAATAAAAAATTAATGGGCTGGTATATGTACTACGATTTCGAAAGAACTTAAATTTTTCTTTATTATTGTATAAGAATTAGATAAATCACAAATAATTAATACGTGAAAACAACTGAAATTCAAACATAAAGGCGTTTTTTGTATGAAAGTAAAGATGATAGATAAATTTCTTTCTGCATGTAAAAGCTGCTGCTGCTGCTGTGGTGGTGGTGACGATAACACCAGATTTAAAGATTGTTGCTAGATGTCATATTACATCATTAAATATTATCATCGTCGTGTAATTTATTTTCAATTAACTTCACCACTAATCTTCTTTCATGAATTCTTGTTGATAAATGAATCGACATCAAATTCAAGACTTTCATCGTCTTCAACCTCATTCGGACGGCGTCGGCATATTGAGCGACGGTTTCTTCCAGGCCTTGAATTCACGTGGTCAGCTATTGCTGCCACATCATCTTCATAGTCAGTTTCTGCTTCGAGTTTATCCGTTGTTTCAACAATGTCATCTGTGATTTTTATTTTTGCCCATTTTCCCTAAAATGATTCAAATTGCCAGTTTGCGATCTGGTTGAGTATCCTGCCATTGAATACTCTGAAACTTTTTTCTCACAATAATTTGATAATTTGTTCTCATCAACGTCTTTTTGACAACTTTCATCAACCAACCATAACTCGCAGGTATTCATCCAGTTCCGTAGTAGATCATTCGTCAAATATTATCTTGATAGACGTCGGATTACATTGAAATATTAATAAAAATAGAATCAGTATTAAATAAATATTGCATTTGCGAATTTATAGTGAAGTTTCACGAGGAACATTTTTATTAGAACGCAGAAAATAAATGACGACGAACTTATCAAGAAAATATTATTCATCAATGTCATGAATGTAGCTGGTGCATTAATAATTCTATTACTAATAATGTTATGAAATCAGTATTCATTTTTTTTTGTTTTGAATTTTTTCGTTACAAATGATTAGTTCGCGAAAAAAATCACATGAAATGTTCGATTTTTTAAGGGGTAAATCACATGATCAATAACTTTTTAGCCGATAATTGTTAAATTAAAATTTATTTATAATTACTGATTTTCTTATGCATCATTTCTTTTATTTATCAAAGCTGGAAAAATTTTTACATTTGAATTAGGATCACAACATGGTATTGTTTACCTATTATATTAATTCTGTTAGAGGTAAAGCTGAAGAGCAAGATTTTAAAACAGAAAAGATTAAAGGTTGATTTTGTGATCAAAGCTTAGGGGGAGGCTTAGGGTTGGAGACAGAATATGTAAATAGTCTTTCCCTTCGTTTTTTACTAATTTGTCGGGTTTGATCAAAAATTTACACATTTTTATTGGTTTGTGCCACGTATATTCAACGTAACCGTGGCTTATTATATACGTCTGTTGATTCCGGAAAATTCTATTTTGAGAAGAATATGTATAAAATAGCCTCGCCGACATTTTTGATTAGTACATCTAATTAGGTTCAAAAATTATTGGTTGCGCGCATTCTCATTGACTGTCGACAACAATGTGCGTGATCATTTCACAAGATCAATGTGCAACGCAAAAAACCTAATTTTGATAGGTTTCATATGTTTTTTCATATTGAAAAGGTTTTTTGATTTGTATAATCCTAACCCTGACCCGGTTAGTGGCTTATTTTTTGATCTTGAAATCTACAATATGATATTAAATTTCTTTTGCCTTTTGATTTCACGTGATCTGGAAATTTTTTGCTCACCCATTAGTTTAGCACAAATGATCAGGTGCCCGGAAAATCACCGTCAGTTATAAAGGGAATACAAAGTAAAAAAAATTTAAAAATATATTTTGTTAAACAAATTTAGTTCACTTCTATTGTCGTTGATTGGTTCCTCCGCAGATCTTATAATACGCGTATGGACAAAATGATGCTCTGCATTGCGTAATGTCGTGACTAATTCTAATTTCACCTGGCATTTTCTCCATTTTATTTTTTTTGTTTTGCGATACAAACAATAAAGCAGTAAGCACAACCACTAGCTGTTGAACTGTAGAAGTTATATATAAGAGGTTTTGACTTTTCTTTTTCGGTTGCTTTAAAAAAAAAAGTATTTTTATTTTTATATATAATATATATCGATACACGTATATTATATAGTATTACTCACTCATTCCCTTTTCATCCTTTCACTCTCTTCTCTTTTAAAAAAATTACAACAATATATATTTTTATATATATAAGTATTCGCCTCGGCGCCAACCAAAACTACTTTGCAAACTTGAAAAAAATCTTGAGATTTACACAATCTTGCTCGAGCATATAAAACATTAAGAAAAAATGGGCGAATCAAGAACCGAGTTGCTCGCATGGATAAACGATTTGTTGCAATTAAACTATACAAAAGTAGAACAAATGGGGACAGGTAATTTCGTAAGCTTCACATTCACACAATGTGCAACAATTTTTAGAGAAGACACCGCCTTTTAACGGTTAGCCAGTGATTTTTTCGATTTTTGTTTTGGAGTAGTTTCTAATTGACCCGAATTTTTCGATTGATTAATTTGATCAATTAGGCGCCGCTCATTGTCAGATTATGGACTCGATATTTGGTATGTATGATTTGGAAGTTGACCCTGCATCTCATGCTATTATTGTTTGACGCTATTGTTCGACTTGATTGACTTGTTGATCCATTATCTTTGTGTGCTTAAATAGGCGATGTTCAAATGAACAAAGTAAAATTCGGATCAAAACATGAGTATGAATATGTGGCAAATTTCAAAGTGCTGCAAACTACATTTGATAAGCACAAAATTGACAAGGTACAAACAAATGTCTTTTTTACTTTACTTTATATGCATCACGCTGTTGATTCTACTTCATTCGAAAAAAAAAAAATAGATGGTTCCAGTTGAACGTCTTGTTAAATGCAAGTTCCAAGATAATCTTGAATTCTTACAATGGATGAAAAAATATTGGGATACTTTTTATCCTGGTGGTCCTTACGACGCACTCGCCAGACGGGGACCTGGAAATAATCCGGCCAAAACGGTCACTGGTGGTTCTGCCCCAAGGGTAGCCACAAAGAGACCAGCTGCTGGTGGAGGTAGTGCTACACATCATGCCGTTAGCACTGCCGGTAGTAAATGTATTTTATTTATTTCAACGCTACCACTTCTGCTATTAATACCAAATTATTTACAGCAATTAATAAAGCATTTTTTTTTTCCATTAAAAATAAGCTGGTGGTTATGATCAAGTTCAAATTCTGGAATTGAATAAACAAGTTGAAGAATTGAAAGTCACGGTGGACGGACTTGAGAAAGAACGCGACTTTTATTTTGGAAAATTGCGAGATATCGAGATTCTCGTACAACAATCAATCGAAGAAGCGCCAGACAATCAACTATTGAAAGAGATTCAAGCCATTTTATACAGTACAGAAGTGAGTAATTGAACTTTACCAGCATTATTATTATTATTATTATTATTATTATTATTATCATCATCATCATTAATATAATAAGTGAGGTGGATAAAATACATATTTAGTCTTCATCTTGATTGTTCAGTATTTAGTATTTTTTTTTGTGTGAAGGAGAGAGAATAATTGTTATGAGACGTGAATTTTTAACTGTCATTATGTAATCTCTACTAGGATGGCTTCGAAGTTCCACCAGAAGGTGCTGCCCCAGTCGAAGGAGCATATGAAGAAGAAACATTCTAAGAAAGGACTCGTGTATTATTTAATACTTCTATTACATTATACTACTTATATTACCACACACGCACACGTAGTTATTTAGTAAAAAAAAAAAGTTTAGTGATTTTCTCCATCTTTACTACATATACTACTACTGCTAATTTACTACTATACTACTTTTTTACTACGCGCGCACACACACATGCCACACAATGAATTTTTATAAATAGACAAAATTTTTACTTATCATAAAATAATACTTGTCGAATTCTTTTGTAGACGATTTTTCATTCAAGATGACGTGGGTTGTGTGATGATGATGTTGATGATGTTGGATTAGGAGGGTTGGTATTGACAAATTGGTTAATTCAATAAAATTTTTGGTCGGGAAGGAATTTATTATTATGTTACATCAACCCATTGTTGTTCCGGAGGTTATCATGATGAAGGCTATGATGTTTACAAGGATTTCCGCCATAACAAAGAAAGTAACTCTCTAAACCACATATAGTACACGCACAACCAAAAAAAAAAAAAGGGTTATTTGATGTACATGATGATCGATTTACCCAAAAGCGTAAATTGTAACTGTAAAATCCCAATTAATGATAGAATAGAAGAATGATATATTAAATATTGTCCATCTCACATTGCATCAACAACAGTCACGTCTATTTACATAATATTATGCGATATACGATCTATAAAATCGGTCTGGATTTTTGTTTTTAATTCTTACAACTTCTTCCTTCATCTTTCTTCTTCGTCTTTTTTGTTCTCTTCCGTTCTTTCGTTTTTGAGAAAGTTGGTTCAACTTATCCATCTCCCTTTCGAATAACTTTTTGAGCTGATAATTCGAGGGATTTTATTTTGCAGCTTGGCCTTTAGGTATAATTAATTATAAATTTAATACGTTTAATACGTGGAGTAAATTTCAAATGTGCACTTGTATAAAAAAAGGAAATAACACTGATAAAGAAAAAAATTTCTTCTGAACTTAAGACTGACCGAGTGAACTGACAAGACGAAAATTGGTGTGAGTATTTTTCTTTTTCGGATTCGTCACGCGTCTCTTCTGTAAGTTGAACAGCCCCATACATGCACAACAGAGGTAACAGACAGTCTGTGCGAATAGATTGCTTTGCCATTTATTACGTTACATGCATACTAGCTTCTCTGTGTCTTTTTTACACGCCACTCGCACGATTTCATTACCGTGAAAAGCTTTTTCTTGCATTACTCTCTCAGTAACACTACTAACCCAAGTCTCTACGAAAAATCAATAGCAACAACTATTGTGTCCGTGTCAAGATTTATTACTCTTAAAAGATACACGCGCACATTGCCCAGTGAATAAATAAGAAGCAACATTCACCCAAGAGGATAAAAAAATAATGGCAGAGAAATCAAACAAACATGGTTGGAAAGCGCTAAACCCGAACACACCAGAACCGGATCCCAACAAACGTGAATGGGCGGCTGTTCGTCGTCGATACGAGTGGAATGAATCTTACGATGAGGGTATTGCCCCGAAGGATGAGGAACTCGAACACGAGTTGTTTGGCGAAGAGAATCATGTGCTTACGGGTCATAATTTTTCAAAGTACGAGGATATTAAGGTCACTGTGAAAGGAAGTGATATTAAACCGGTGGAATCTGTACGTTTTTATCTTTGTATCCTTGCCAAGCTTCGCTACTTGGAAAATTTTGATCGCACTAATTGATTTATCAAATACTTAGTTTGATGAGGCTAATCTTCACCCTCAAATGAAAGAAAATGTGGCACTAGCTAGATATGAAAAACCTACGCCTGTCCAGGTATATGTTATCATCAATTTTCATTTTAGTATGGTTGTATGGTTAATATATATATATATATATATATATATATAATTGATCAAATTCTATTCTCGAAATTAGAAATGGTCAATTCCTATAATCACCGAAGGCCATGACTTAATGGCATGCGCCCAAACAGGTAACCGTCATCAAAAGGATAATATAACCATTCCTATCTAACACTCGGATTTGTTCACATGAATTCGACAGGATCCGGCAAAACTGCCGCTTTCCTAGTTCCAATATTATCAAGATTATTCGGAAAAGCGAAAAAATTAACTGCGCCACGTCCACCACCTGGTAGAACTCGCGGCTACAAAGCACAACCGCTAGTCTTAATTCTAGCTCCAACTCGTGAACTAGCAACACAGATTTTTGACGAGTGCCGTCGATTCACGTACAGAAGCATGCTGCGACCCTGGTTTGTATTTTGTTTTCATTCTTCTCTTGATAATCTTTATGGATCATTTTCTTATCCTTAGAATTTTTAGTGTTGTTTATGGAGGTGCAGACTCTGGCCCACAGAAAGTAGAGTTGTTTAAGGGCTGTGATATTTTGACTGCTACTCCTGGGCGTTTATGTGATTTCTTGGATAGAGGAATTATTAGCTTGGCTAGAATAAGGTAAATACATCATGATGATAATTTACCAGTGATTCGATATTATTTAGTTTATTTACCTCCCAAAAAAAAGATATCTGGTAATTGACGAAGCGGATCGCATGTTGGATATGGGTTTCGAAGATGACATGCGAAGAATAGTCGCAAAATCAGGTCCGATATTTTCTAATAATTTAATAATTCATACATTTATTAAGAAAAGACGATGTAATGAGTATGTCATCGAAAAATAGATATGGAAGACGCCTCTCGTCAAACTTTAATGTTCTCTGCCACTTTTCCGCAACGAATCCGGAAGCTTGCAAAAGATTTCTTACAGGAGAAACACTTGTTCTTGACCGTCGGTCGTGTTGGAGGGACGACAAGTGACATCACTCAAAAGGTGAATAACAGTTAATCTTGGATGTGTCTCAATTTTATACTGTGCTGAGGAGAGCATTAATTAATTTGAGTATGGTTTGAATCTATGCTTTGAAGATTATATTTTGCGAGGATTCGGAAAAACGAAACACACTCGTTCAGTTATTGTTGACACAGCCACCATCTCGTACATTAATATTTGTCGAGACCAAACGAGGAGCAGACTCACTTGATGCTTTCCTCTATCAGCAGCATTTCCCTACGACTTCTATTCATGGAGATCGTACCCAACGCGAAAGAGAAGATGCGTTGCTTGCTTTCAAGTAAAATTTTTTCATCGATTTCAAGTTTTTAAGCTCCTTCTCCTTACACTTTGAATGATGTTTTCGTTAATTAATGATATGCGTGTCTATTAATTATTTTAGAAATGGACGATCTCCTATTCTTATAGCAACGGCAGTCGCGGCTCGTGGTTTGGACATTAAAAATGTCATGCACGTTATCAATTATGATCTATGTAGTGAGATTGATGAATACGTGCACCGTATTGGACGGTAACTTTTGTTCTATCTTTTGCTATCTGACAAAACTTTCAGTAGAAAATAATATAAGGAATAATTCTCAATTGTGCTCACAGAACGGCTCGTGTTGGTAACCAAGGCCTGGCGACAACCTTCTACAATCACGCCAACGAGTCCATTGCAAAGGATCTGGTTAGACTGCTTTTGGAATGCGAACAAGAAGTTCCGGATTTTCTGCAACAATATACTGCCGATATGTAAGTGAGAGTAACAATTTTTAATTGTGCAAAAATTATTGTCGAGATTTTCTTTTGCCCATTGATTAACTAAATAATATTGTCGAAATAAAGAAATCTTAATGACGATGATGATGACGATACATATAATGACAACACATCATACTCAAATCATGGACAACAAACAACAACGTCCTGGGATAATAACAATACTACACAATCCCAAGGTTCATGGAATGTACCAGCTAGCAATACGCCAACTAATAATGGCAGTAGTCAATTCAAAAGTTGGGAAACTACGAATAATGGTAACAATTACGGTGGTCAATCACAGAATTCATGGGGTTCACCACAACCACCAGCAAATCAAGCACAAGATTCGTGGGGCAGTGCTCCCTCTTCTCATAATACTTATCCTGCTTCCGGACAGAATTGGTCATCATCCCCCCAACCACCAAACAACAATAATACATATCAACAAAACTATCAACAGCCATCAGCAATTCCACCACCAGCGAATCAAGCGCAAGATTCGTGGGCTGGTGGTCCTCCCCCTTCTAATAATAACTTCTCAATGCCCGGACAAACCTGGTCATCATCCCCACAACAACCAAACAACAATAGTAATAATAACACATATCAACCAAATTATCCACAAACACAAGCTCCGGCTTCATATCAACAACCACCACAATCAGCAGCTCCCTATCAGCAATCACAACCCCCGTATCAATCACAACCACCGCCACAAACAAATTCCTATCAACAAACGCCACCTCCCTATCAACAACCATCACCACAAGGAGGAGCGGGACCATATATGACACCACAAGCAACGCCACAATATCCACCTAATCCACAATTGCAGTATTCACCCCAACCAACATTACCCACACAACAATCACAACAATCTGGATGGGGTGCTCCCCCAGCGGTTCAAAACGGAAACGGCTGGCAATGAAATAATAGGCATGTTGATCAGATTCTGAGGTATTGTTTTCGCAGTGAATATGGATATATTTTATTAATCTAACATATGAGATGAAATTGAAAAATTAAATTATCAAGAGAAATTAAACAAAACTCGAAGTTTATTTTAATTAAATAAATTTTACAATGCATCGATTTTGCTTATAAGTATCCTGTGAAATATTTAAATTACATTTGATATCATCGAATTCCGAGACTTAAAATCATCGTAGCTTGCAGTAATTTTGTTCCCCAAAATTATTGCTTAATGATCTCTTATTCGGGCATGGTATCATTCATATGGTCTTATCTTTGCATCTTGTATATGAACCCTTTATTATATCGTAGCATTACCCGTAAGGGTAATGATCACATGCTCGGAAAATCTCTAACCATAATGCTGTTGTGATTGGCAATCAATTATTTTTGTGCAGTACACTAAAACTTTATCTCCTAATCTTTTAATTTGGGCCGGCTGCCATGATGATAATCATAACATAATAAAAAATTTTACAATTATAAAGAACCTTCGTAAAATGGTAGACTTTCTATAATTTGGGCATGAAATTCTAGATATTATTTCTTGCTCGTGGAATTAATAAACTACTTTTTTATTAATAAAAAGGGTGGAGGTCCACGTTATCCATATCCGAAGGAAGTTTGGTGAGTTTCTACCGAGTCATATTTAATTAGATTTAACGAATGTAGGTTGAAAAATTTATATTTTCTATAGGTCTCCAGGTAAAAGGATAGATGATAGATAAAAAAAGTAACAAGAAAATAAACAACGATTTCTAATTTTACCTTGTTCATCGGATAGCTGGTGGTTGGTGGAGTCGACCAGCAAACTGGAAATCTAATACCGCAATAATTGGAACAGGAATGTTGATAATTTGCGCTATTACTTGGAAAATATCTGCTGAAAAGGAGGTACTAATATTTGAATTCGATTAATCTAAATTATAATCCATAGATTATTTATTAATCTGATAAATAATGCAGGTACGCTATAGGCCACCTAGAAAATGGATCCCATCAATGATGGTAAGATTTTATGTCGATTTAATTATAAATCCTCAAAAAAAACAAATTTATTCATAACTTAATTTCGTATAAAGTGGTCAAAACAATTTACAGAAGGGGAATACAAGGATATTAAATTTGATGAAGATTATGTCAAGAAATAGAAATCATTTAAACTGTAAATCAACCATAAACTTTTGAGGTGAGCACGTAGCATCTTATGTGATTAGAAAATAAGAGTGAGGCGACATGAACATATTGTCAAAATTATAAAGATGGAAGAAATATTATTACTTTATATATATGACGCTAAACGAAAGAAACAAAAATACATCAAATAAACGGTATCATTGATTACTTTATTTAATTTTTAGTTGTAACACATTCATTCATTGTTAATTTTTTCAAGTTTTTTTTCTATTCTCTCCAAATTACGCGAAGCCTCTTCTAACCCTTCTAAATCATTAGCCTTTTCAGCAAAAGAAACAGCTTGTGTATAAAATGCTCCCGCGTTCCATATCTTCCCATCTTTTTCATATATCAATCCAAGATTATTTGAAATTACACCGACACATTCGTCGCAGTCTCTTCTTTCACCAACTTTATCATCACCACCACTTTTAGCTATTTTCAATCCTTCTTGTAGCCAACCGAGAGCTTCATCTTCTTTTCCCATCGCATAAAAAATCTCGCCTAAATGACCCATTATGATTCCCTCCCAACAATTCCAATTTATCTCGTGAACTTTATTGGAATCTCTGTCTTTAATTTCCGATGATGGGGATGATTGTAGTAGTTGTTTTATCTTTTTCAATGTGCCCAAATATAATGAAAGTGCTTTATCGAATTGTTTTCGCTTAGCATATATTCCAGCTAGCATCAAATTGCATTGAACCAAATCCAAGTTGATATTATTAACGATCGACGATTGTCCGGCGGTCAAGATTCCAATTGCCCATTCTAAATATTTCTCGGCGCTTTTATAATCTTGCATCGTTAGACATATTTTAGACATTCTTTTCACGACATCAATCGCTTTTTTAAGATTCTCATCCCCTCCAGCCACCACCAACGCTTGTAAAAGTTTTTGATACTCTAATCTCGCTTCGTACAAATTTCCCAGCCTCACAGAGTTATTCGCTATTCGAAGCACGATATCCACTATTATCGGATGTGTCAACGGTAAGTTCGCTTCCTCTTGGGCGATCATTAGAGCTTGGTTTAGATGTGTTTGGGCCATATTTAGATCGGGATCTATTTCTTCCCGTAGATAAGCCCAATGAAGAGAATCACGCGCTTTCGAGGGTAACATTGAAGGAGTAGCACATTGAAAATGCTCCATATAAAAGTGACCACCACGTACTGTTAGATAACCTATAACAATTATCGAGGCAGCTCCTATCACCATGTACTTAAAACCGCGGATGATTGACCCAAACACATGTTGGGTGACAGGATTAAAGTGGCTTGGAGGCGGCAACTCTTTTTGATTTTCTTGTGATGTTGAGCTATAGCGAGATAGATCTTTCCTAAATGAGATCAAGCAGTGTCGAGATATCGTTATATTCTTGTTTTGAATGAATTTATTAAATCTTTTGGTGTGATAATTTTTCGTGAAAGAACAACAAGAATCAATTTTCATGAAGCGGAATTTTCGAGACAACATTGTTGGAACATTTAAAAATTTTTATTCCATCAAAAAAAATTCTTAATGTTGTAGAAAGAATTTTCTAGAATTCTTGCTTTTTTTAGGAATTGAGGCAAGCCGCTTAGCGATTTAGCCACAAATCAGCCACCTTTGATCTGCACAGGATCAAGTTATAATTCAGATTCAAGTCATAAAACTCTTAAAAATTCAAATCCTGATATTATATAGTAATATCAAAAATTTTTTGAATTATAATCTTAGCAAGAGATTCTTAAAAAATTTGTAATAACTAGATTAATATAATCAGATCTCTCTATAATTATCATACTTGAAAAAGTAAAATTGAATAACTAAAGAAAAATTTATATATAAAGAGATTTTTTAATTATAGTTAATAGTAACTGGAAAACTCAAAAAAAAAGATTATAAAAAAAGATAACTATAAAGAGATATGATTATAAAGAGATCTGATTATATATATAAAATCTTGTAAATAATAACATTTATAATAATTATAATTAATAAATAAGCTTAATATCAAGTTTACTAAATGTATTTATATATAAAAAATTATTTCAAATCATATTTTAAAATATGAGTCAGTGTAAAAAGATTTGTCTTTTAGAAAAATATTAATAGATTATTTTTTTAAACTAAAATTTTAATTCTGTCTTATTTAATTAAGTTATTAAATATTAGAATTTATTTAAATATAAATATTTTTATTATATATTTTTTATAAAAAAAATTTTTACTAATAATAACTTTTTTCAATTATTATTTCTTAAATTTTACTATATAAAATTTGATTAAAATTAATATAAAAATTATATAATAAATAATTTAATTACTTAATTTTGAATTTTAATATCTTTATAATTACTAAGTAATCTATTTATATAATTTAAAGTTCTAATATTATAAATTAATAGTAATAATATTTAAATATTTTTTTTAAAAAAAATTTTATTTTAGTTTTTTTTAGTAAAATAATATTTTAATTATTATTAAATTAAAGTATAATAAAATAGTTAAAATAATATAATAAATTAATTTAGATTATTTTTATTTAATATAAAAAAATTATAAAGATTAATTAAAATTTAAATAATTTTATTAAAAGTAATTATTAATTTTTATATTAAGATACAAATCTTTTTGTGCTAACTTGTATATTTATTTATAATATAATTAAATTATTTTAGTTATAGAAAGTTTCTTAGTAGAATTTTTTTTCTTTCTTATTTTATTAATATAACTAGTATATTATCTATTTTATATTTTTATTTATAATTATTTATTTTTTATATTTATATATTAATAAATATCTTCTAAAAATACTATTATATAAGTATTATATATTATTAATTTCTTATTTAGTATTATTATTTTTATATAATCATAATTTATTATTTAAAGATACTATATTTATTCTGTAATTTTAATAATAATTATTATAATAAAGTTTAAGTTTTAATTAAAATAATTTCTTGTCTGTTCTTGAATTAGTTTTTTATGTGAATACTATTTTAATTATTTTGCTATATCTTAAATCTTCTGTGTGAATTTTTCTAATATTTTATATTATATAACTAAAAGATTATATATAAAAAACTATTCTTATTTAAATTTTATTAATAAAAAGTAATAATAATTTTAACAGATAAATATATAATTTATAAGTTAGTAATTTTAGCTTTAATATTAATTATTTTATATAAAATTATAATTAAGTATTTATTAAATCAGAATAATTATTAATATTTATATTATTTAATATTTTATTTAATAATCTTATTATTTATTTTTTTTATTTTAATTCATATTCATATTTTATTATATTATTATAACTTAATAAATATTTATCTTTATTTTTATTAATAATATATTTTAAAAATATTATTATTATAAATATTACTTTATATTATTGTGATATAAACTTTTAGTAAAATATTAATTAATTTTATTATTAGTCATTTCATATTATAAGTGATTAGATAAATAATTACTTATATTTTATTAAATATTAGTTTTAGAGAATATTATTTTTAAAAGATTTTGCAAACATGATGATCATAGCAAAATTATCATAGCAAAGTTAGCAAAATTATTATAGCAAAACTAATAATGCTATTATAACAAAATCAATATTATGATACTAGCTAAAGTAACATTTAGATCATAGCAAAACTAGTATAAGTATCATAACAAAAGTATTATTCATATAATCTTTAAAATATATAAAAATGATATATCTTAGCTAATGAATTTGATAGATAGTTAATAATCAGATATTTAGTTATTTTAGTTTAGTTTGAGTTCTATGAGTTTAGTTCTCAATTCATATTTAAGTAGATTTTAGTTTTAAGAGAATTCTAAGGAATCTTTCTTATAGAATAGATCTTAATTAAGATTTATTATTTTGTTTTATTAATAAACTGAATATTACATCTGATTTGAAATTATATTTTGAGAATTGGACTATATTCTAACTAGTTATAACAAGAACACTATCATTACCTACCTTTAGATAAATAATAATATTTATATTCTTATTAATAAATCTTTTAAAGACTCTCTCAAATATCACTTTAAGCATGTGATTACTTTTATCATGTGCTTTTGTAATATTAGATTTAATACTCACTCTTAGAATAAAAACTCATATCAAAAAAATAATAACTTTTTGATACCCTCTTTGTGAAAAAATAATTTTATAAGATTATCAAATTTAACTCAAATCTAAATAAAGAATTCTCTGTGAATTAAATTAAAATTAATAAAAAATCAAAAGCAAATGAAGAAATAATATTGTAACATATCAAGATAGATCTAACTAAAGAAATCAAAGTAGAAAGAGAAAGACTTTTCACTCAACTATTTATTGAGTTATATTTTGAAGATTATACTGAATCTGATCACCAAGTTATCTGGAAAAAATTCTATCATTTTCATCAAGAAATAATACATAATAAAATCCAAACCAAGACAAAAAAAGCTTTTGTAACTTTAATTGAAGAAGAAACTGATCTATCAACAGAACAAATATAAATATATTTTTATAAACTGTAATAAGAGATATTTGAATTTAAAGATAAAAAAAGCAAATATTTGACAGAACAAAGATAAAGAAAGTAACAAGATATATCTGTAGAAGTACCTAACTCTAGTTAATCAAAATCAAACAAAGAATTATTAGATATCTTACAACAGTTTGAAAAATATAATTCAAATACTCTTAAATAGATATTAGTGCAATCATTACTCAATAAATACTTAGAAATACAATCAATTACTTAAGATATATCTGTTACTTCAACCTTTATTTCCTTAATACCACTTGAAGAAGAAGAGATGAGCAGAGATAAGAAAAATAAAACATTATTTTCATCAACTACTGATAACAGATTTAAAGATCTGATACATAGAATTGAAATACTTGCTATAGCTTTAGAAAGATCAAAGAAAGTTAATTATATCAAAATTGTAAAATTCTATGATAATATTCAAGATCTAATTGATTGGCTTCAAGACTTTGAAAATGCTTATATCGCTAATAGCATTAGCAATAATAGAAAAATTCAGATAATAAAAGCTTATCTAAAAGATTCAGCTACCATATGGTATGCTAATGAAAAATTACAAGATCTAGAATAGTCTGAAATCTGAAGTTATAATAATGATACTAATTAAAATATAAAAGAAGCTTTATTTATATATCAATTTGAAAAGCATTTTAGAAATCATGATTGATTATATAAATAGTAACAATAATTAAAACAAAGAAAATAATTATCTAATGAAAGTATAGAATAATATTATTATAAATTATACTCTGGAAGGTAGGTTTTACTATAAATATAATTTATAATAAGATTTGACTGAATTATTTATAAAAATTAAGAGGATAATAATTATTCTAAAGATTTTCTAGTGCTAATACTTATAAGTATTATATTAATACAAGACAAAAACAAAATAAAACAAAAATATAAAAATAAAGTTGTGATCATAAATACTAAACTAAGAGATAATATCAAAAGCTAAGTAATAAATACTAAAATTAGGATAACAAATATCAAATATAACAAATACAAAAACAAAAATAATGAATACTAATACAAAAGTAACAAATACCAAACTAGAACAACAAATATTAAACTGAGTTTTTATATATGAGAAAGCTTACAAGAATCTCCTAAATCAAATAAAATATTATTATAAACTATACTCTAGAAGATAGGTTTTATCACAAATATAGTTTATAATAAGTTTTGAGGGTGAAAACTGAATTATTTATAAAGGTAAAGGGGATTACTATTATTCTAAAGGTTTTCTAGTGCCAATACTTATGAGTATTGTATCAACACAAGGCAAAAATGAAATAAAATAAAATTATAAAACGAAGTTGTGATCACGGGTATTAAACTAAGGGGTGATACCAAAAACTAAGCAACAAATACTTAAAACTAATAACAAATACTAAAACAAAACTAAGGCAACCAATATCTAACAAATCAAAGATAATAAATATCAAACAAAGCTTTTGCATGTAGGGAAGCTTACCAAATCTTTTCTAATAGAGACAACAAATGTCAAACCCAAGCTTTTACACGTAAAAAAGCTATCAAGAATCTTTTCAATCAAAATATAATCTATTATAATAGAAGAGGTAATTGAAAGCAGAGTATCAAGGTCAATTCACAAAGAAAATTATAAGATAAGTATAACTCAAGTGTTTTCAAAAGACAATTGAATTA